AATTCTCCATTGTGTTCTTACAGTCCCGGGTCTTTCCTTTCGAACGCTTTTGCCTTCTCTCATTCGTGTCCGTTAGAGGCACCACACTGGCACCAGGTAGCGTGTGAGCTCGATTCGCTCGTCGCGGATGCCTCGTCGTTTCTCGCTAGTCCACAGCAAATGTCGGCCATTACAAAAAGCCCTCTAATGACAAATTAATTTGCGTATTGTTAGAATTTTTTGGTGGGCTGTACTGTTAGAATTTTTTGGTGGGCTGTACTGTTAGAATTTTTTGATGGGCTATGTATATTTAGAAAGGAAAATGTACTCAATAGAATATTTTAACCCGAGCCTACCCAAGGTCACCTGATAGGTTACGGGTTTGTGGGCTTATGAGGATGTTGCGGTCTAAAATTTTCTCAACCCGCACAGTGTGGCTCGGCCTAATTTTTCAGCCCAACCCGAGCCTACCCGGCTGAATCACACCCCTAGAAAGTACCCATGTTTAGCCCCTGACTTGATATACATACATATGTACTTACAAAATATTTTTAATACAAAATATGTTGGTTTTTGAAACATTTTTTAGTGTGCAAGTGTGGTAGTGCGGATCGTGTGTAATGAAAAATTTTCATAAAACCTTTTGAATATGCTATAGATTATATTAATTTATGCAATAATAAATTAATCTCATTAATTTATAACGATACATACCGATTAGGATGATAACTTGAGGTCTTTGGCCAACGAACGTTCCTTGCTCCAAAACTTTCTTAGAACACCTAAGTCTTCCTCGTCTGCTCCTCAAATTCATAAGACGATGAGTATGGGCTCAAGGTACAAACTATTAGAACGTTCACTCGCTAATTTATATTATTTCACTGTCAACACATGTATGTGAAATAATTGGGAAAATTGGAAGAACTTTTCTTCTCTTTTTCTCTCTTGTAGGATTCGGCCAAGCTCTACGAAAAATAAAGAGAAAATCAATCTTTTATTTTTTTCAATTCTTATTGTCTCATATTTATAGACAATTAGGAGAATCCTTTGCTTGTAGACAAAGAAAATAGGAAATCGGTAACAACTATATTTTTAATCTCATTAAAAATACAGTTTCCATTTTTCTTTTGGAAAGAAACTTTCCTTCCCTTTTCTTATTGTGTGGCTGGCCATCTCTTAGGAAAGAAAGAGAAAATTCATTCCTAATCCAGTTTCTAATTTTAGCTTAAATTTAATTCCAAATAAAGTAACATTTTATTTTCCTTTTTGAATTTAATTGGAAAACTTGTTAAACAAGTAAATTGGATTACTTGGAGAGCAAGCAACTAAAATCCCAGTGAGATTTTTCTCAGTGTTACACGTCCCCTGTGGTCCCACCACAGTGTGTGACAAAATAATAAAATAATTAAATAATCACATTATTTAATGTTTATTAATTATTAATTAATTATTCGTGAGTGAAACAAAATTTTGATAATTCATTTTTTTTGTCTTGCAAATAATATAAGGATGATTGGAAAACTTATGGACCTATAATTATGAGCTTCAACAAAATTAATAATTAATTAAACTATTTAATTAATTTATTAATTCTATTAATTCTAAAAGCTACTCCACTAAAAACTTGGAATTGCACTCTCGAAATTATAGATATAATTTACTTCTAAGAACTTGAATGTCCATTTGATATAGTCACTGCATATAGATCGATCATCCATAAATAATTCATAATTAGAGCTAGGTGAAATTAGCTAACCTCTTTAATTACATCTAATCCTTGAGTGCCATTGATTCTCTAATGAATAGTATATTCATAAAAGACATGCATGAATATGAACTCGTTACTTATTTAAGTACCGAATTAACCCTCAAGGAAATTATTTATCTGCTTCTTTAAAGAAGAATGAATGAATTTCATCTTGTATATTAGCATTCCTGGCTATATATTTCATCATGTTCCTAAGATACCGTGAATATTATTTAGGATATCGAAATCCGTACTAAGTAAATCAAAGAACACGAATCCATAAATATGAGTCTACTAATAACTCAAGATTAAGATCACTCTATATATGACCATCGGTATACTCAAATTTTGATTTTCTATGCTTAACAGAAATTATCAGAAAATCAAATTGTATATGTGTCACAATTCTACATAATCTCATTATGTATAATACACTAATTTAATATCCCTTTATATTAATGATGCAGATAACACCATTCCATTCTTAACGGGAATGACATGTATTAGTAATGTTTTAATTAAAGATTCTGAAACTTTAATTAAATTTATTACGAACATCGTTTTAATTATTATCCTTAAATATTATCCTATTATATATAACACTTATATACAATATTTAAGGTTACATAAATAATTGTAGAATTTTCTATGATATTCATAAAGTATTCGATAATACATGCACATAAATAATGAAAAAACAATTTTATTAATCAAATAATAAAATATTCTCATTATATCTCATGCTTAAGGACATTAATCCCAACAAAATATATACACATATATATAGACGAGTTTTTAATTGTTGAGTTTTTAATTGTTATGTTTCCATTGGTGGTTACCACCAAATATAGAAATCTCATGACGTGACATGATAAAAATCTAGTTCCATTAATTTTTAATAATTTGTTTGATCAACTATATAATTTATTATAATCGTCGGATTAATATCTTGAACTAAAACAATGATACCCATTGATAGGTGAATATTAGAATAACTAATAAAACAACAATATATTGTAATAGTACTTAAAACAATAAGAGATTAAAAAGTTAAAATTTTTACTATTTTAGCATATTAAAAAACCCTATTGATTCCTAAATTTTTATTATAAATAGACTTTAGTTTATTTAATGAGATATTAATGTTATATTGAATTTTATATTTAATTTGATTCGATTATTTGTGTTAGTAATATTGTAATATTTTTTTAATGGGTAAATGAGTAAGATATATAGAAAGTCTTTCCGACGGGAATTTTCTAACCTTGACCTCAACCCCTATCCTTAATAAGGCGGGTATGAGGGGCAAAAATGAAACATTTCGCCTGATAATTATCCCTAGAAGAGACGGATAAGCCCGTTTTGAAGGTCTACTCAAAATATGATTTTTAATTCTGACGTTTAAAATTTTATAAGAAGAAAACACTGTAACAAAGTTAATAATCTAGTTTGAGTATATTACAAACGACCTCTAAGAGTGTGTTTGGTTCAAGAATTCGTGTCATGATCCGAATCATAATTCGTGACTCGTTACAGTATTTTCTCTCATAAAAATACACATAAATCAAAAATAATTCTGAATCTATCAATAAAACGTCCTCTAAGTGACTCAGTTGGATTTCCAAGACAAATAAAAGAAAAGAGACTAGAGGGGTAAACTCGTAAAAATATAAAAGTAAATTGCACGAATAGTTTCAAACTCTTTAAAAAGTTATAGTTTGATCTCTAAATTTGTTTTTATGAAATGAACCCCAAATTATTTAAAAAAATGTAATGTAATCATTTTTATCAAATGTCATCTAAAAAATAACGACACAATGCACGTGAAATATGTTTTGTTATAATAAAAATTTTTTAGAAATAGTCACATTTAATTTTTTTATTACAGTAAAAAATTTTAAAATCACATATCAAATTGAATTAAAAACTCAAAATCAATGAACTTAACTCAAATCAGCGAACTTAACGAACCGTTTATGTTATTCAAATTTTGTTTAGAGAGATGTAACTGAAACTGTGATACGACGCCGTCCTGCGCGCTCCGAGGTAAAACCGCCGGCGGCGGCGGCGGAGGAGAAGAGAGAGAAAGAGGCTCGATCGCGATTTTAAAGGACGAGAAGAGAGAAGGAGAGGAAGAGGAAGCGGAAGAAGAAGAGGCGGAGAGAGAGTTTTCGACGGTGGATTTGATCGATCGAGGAATGTTGTTGCTCCTTGAGGCAGAAGTCTTTGTAGCCTGAGGTTCCAAGATAGATATAGAAGCAACAAAATCCTAAGATGGCAGAAGGGTCAGTTCATCAACATTCGCCCACACATCTGAACCTAAGATGGCATGCCCATTTTGTCGATTTGCAGAAACATCACACAAAGCAGAGAATAAGGTTTCAAACCTATTACCAAGTTCCTCAAACAAACGTTCAGCAACAAGGCTTCTATCTTTAGGTTCCATTTTCAACCCATTTTCAACTGAAGAGGATGGTTCCAGTTGAAAGCCCTAGAAATGTTGGTCCAAAAAGCTTCCTTTTTTTCCTTCAATGGTGAAAAACTTTCCAAAAAATCCCAGAATGGAGAACTCATTTAGACCCAAAATCAGCACAAGGAAAACGCGTGAGAAGCCTAAGGATCTTCAGTACCATCATCCTTGAATTATGAGGCCAAAAAAAAAAAAAGAAAAAGAAAAAAAAATGAATCAAAGTGGTAATGGCTCGCAACAACCCACCAGAAAATAAGTAGGTGAAGGAATTAGAGGTTTAATAAAGTCTTCATTCTCCGAATGAGCTGCATTCTGCGCAAATCTGGTGGAGAATCAAGAGAGAGAGAGAGAGAGAGAGAGAGAGGAGATAACAGAGATGTAAGAGAGAGAAAGAGAGAGAAGGAGAGTTACGCTTGATATTTTACTAAAATACTCTCAGGATCACATATTTTATACATAATTCGTGAAAAATTTAACAAAATTAAATAAAAAGGATTAAAATGTCATTTTTTAAAGAGATTAAGAATCATTTTATCAAAAAAAAAAAAAAGAATTAAACTGTCATTTATTAAAAATTTTAAGAACTATATGTGCAATTTACCCAAAACATAAAAAAGGAAACTTTTTAATGATTGGGTTCGGATGAAAATCTCGAAAGTAGAAATAACTCTAACCTCCATAGTGGAATTGAAAAGGCAAATCTCAAAAAAGGATAAGGTTTAATACACAGTATTATAAAAGGCTGAATAATAAAAAATAAAAAATTAATATAAAACAATTTCAACTCCTGAAACAAGTATCGGAACTTAGGATCTGTCATTGGCTGATCTTTTTTATAAGTGTATTGAAGTCTATACCACCTTTTTGGCTCCCTTTTTTCTTTTGTCCAAGCTTCTCAGCAACTGATATAAACAAGACAAGCGAAAAATTGCCACTTTTCTTGATTTCATTTCCTCACCGTGCAGCAGATAAGAAAGACAAAAGGTAATTTATTTCTCTCTGTTTTTTCTTTTTTGTTGGGAAATTTTATTTTTCCTCTCTTCAGTATCCTGACATGTAAAGGAAAAAAAAAATTATTGGGGTTTGTATGTTTGGATTAAAAGAAAAGAAAAGAAAAGAAAAGAAAAAAAGACAATTTGCCTGTTAGCACGCCTCAACAAAATTGCGCGTTTGTTTGTTTGTTTTTCTCTCTCTCCTGATGGTTTTATCTGTCAGACATAAATGGGTATGTATTGCAGATTCTGAGTGTTTATTAGCAACTTGGGGTTGTAATTTTGAAGGCCTTTTTCAATCCCAGCTGTCATGGTTTTTGTAGCAACTAGTAGTATAATTATCAAAAAAAAAAAAAAAAAAAAACTAGTAGTATTAGATGTTGTTGGGGGAATGGGACCAATCCCAATTGACCGTCTCTGCAAACTTCCTTTGGGGGATGAATCCTATTTCATTTCAGGATAACCCATCAACATCACCCATAATTTCTATGTCTGCCCCTTGTAAATTCCCAAACTTAAAAAAAAAAAAAAATATATATATATATATATTTTGGGTATCTTTAATTTTTGGGTTGATTTGGGTTTCTTCTGGATTCTCCTAATTTGTTGTTTTTCTGCTTCTAATATCGCTTTTTTATCCTTTTTGTTTTGTATTTGGTAACTTATGTTTTGCATTTATTGATAGTGGAGGTGGAGTAAAGGCCTTGTTTACTCAAGGTTAGGCTTTTACTTATCTGTTAATTAATTCAATGTGTTAATTGAAATTACACTTGTTTGTTGGGTAATCTGTCAGAATCTTGATTTTGGGTGTTTTTCCTTTCTTATTTTCGTACTGCTTTTGAGGGTTACAAACAGTGGGTTTTAGGATTCTCGTGTAACAAGAGATTGGAAAATCCTGGGGATTTACTAGGTCGGTTTATTTCACTTCACGGGTTAAAATGTATTTAATCTTTCAATCTCTGGCCGACAAACCAAGGAGGAATCTTTTGTGGATTTTAACTTTTACCTTCCCAAATGGGTTTTCTTCCCTGGAAATAAATTGGGTCATTACATTATGGTTTTCCCAAACCTCAAAATTCCTGTTTTTGTTCAAGTGACACTTGTTACGCCCATCATTTCTGTTTGTTGTTTTGGGATTTTGTATTCTTTCACAACTTGGGTCTCTTTTTTTATTATTTTTTATTATTGTTTTTATTGGTGGTATAAAAAACTTGTGTTTTTGAGTTAGGAACTTGCATGATTTCTCCTTTTAGCTATTGGGAATTACAAAGTGGTTTATGAGACTGTTTGTAAGGAGGGTTCTGTACATACATGCCGTCATTTGAGACTGAAAGTAAAAAGGGCAAATAGTGGAACTGGAAACATCAATTTTTGTGGGCCTGCACTGTTGAAACTGTACTTATCAGTAAAGCTGTTAGTACTCAGATTTTTCTTTTATTTTACCTTTAGAAGGCAGTATGAGTATGATTATTGTTATCTTCTTTGTTTGATTTCTCCATGGTCTCTTTCCCATTTCACAATCCACAAACAAACCGTAATTACTCCTTCTACTGAATTTACCAATACCTTGAAATTATTTTTTCTTTTTTCTTTTTTTTTTTTTTTTTTGGTTACAGCTTTAAAGTGCCATTTATTGCATCTATCATTTTATTGGCTTCAGATATTTCTCATGGTCTAACAGAGACTTTGTTGCCTTTTGGTTCATCAATAGGTCAGCAACTCACAAGAATCCAATTTTCAAATTATGGAGCAAATCACCCTTTAAACCTCCACATAACTTTACCAAGAATTAAGTGTTGTGTTTTCCATTGGAGGTGATCTCTGGTTCAGCCACTCTTGACGTTTTCTGGGCTCTGGTTTTTCTCTTCTGTTCTTGCTTACCTGTATACCCTGACAAATCTACTCCCCATAATTCAGCCTGCCATCCATAGGAGAAGCCATAATTCATACTAGTCATTGAAATTATTTAGAGATCCAATTTCCCAGAAAAGTTCTACATATCTCATGGTTTGGAAGTTGGGTTTAGCATAAATTATTCAGCAGTTTTGGTAGATTCTTGCTTTATCTTCTTCCTTTTGGGGGTAATAAAGCAGTCAGTGGATTCAAGCAAGGAGTAGATGACTGTGGATGAAGGGGCTGGTACCTCCTCGTGGAGTCGAGAGCAGGATAAGGCGTTCGAGAACGCCATAGCAACTTACCCCGAGGATTCCCCAGATCGGTGGGAGAAGATTGCGGCCGATGTACCCGGGAAAACTCTAGAAGAAATTAAGCATCACTATGAGCTGTTGGTTGATGATGTTAACAATATTGAATCTGGTTGTGTGCCCCTGCCTTCCTACAATTCTTCTTCCGAGGGTTCGTCGAGCCATGCTGGTGATGAAGGAACTGGTAAGAAAGGTGGACATGGCGGGCACTATAACAGCGAGTCTAATCATGGAAGTAAAGCAAGGTCTGATCAGGAACGTCGTAAAGGGATTGCGTGGACGGAGGATGAGCACAGGTGAATATTTTGCTGTTGATTTACTTATCTTTATTCTTTTTATGTAGGTAGCATCTAAGGAAGTATCTAGAAAAACTGTTAAAAGAGTAGTTACTCTCGTTGGTAGGATATTAATTTTGCCTTTTTGAATTTATATTTGGTTGGCTACATAGATTCTAGATCAGCCTTATCTTATTGATTTAAAGTTTGCCCCTTTTTGCTGCTTTAGGATCATTAGTTTGTCTCCAGCAATAATTTTTTGGAAAGCAAGTTCCATATGGTGATAATAGGTGGTCAAGTTGCAGTGAGATTTGAACTTTTGCACCATAGTCATTCAGGGTTTTTTTATTTTTTTATTTTTATTTTTTTTATTTTATATAAATCAGCTAAAACTACCACATCTTAAGAATTAGTCACCAAGCTTATAGATTTTACCATTGTACAGGATAGGGAGACAATAGTATTTCGTATGGAGAAATGTTGGGTTTGTGGTTCAATCCCATGTTGCAGGTCTTGATGAGACTTTTAACTTTGACCTGAGTTTTTGGATTGACTTTTATAGAAAAGCTGTTAACTCGAAGAAATATGTTATTAACAGGGTTAAGGACAGAAATTAAGATGCTATATAAGAAAGAGAGAAATGGTCAAGTAGAAACGATTTACGCGTGGCAACCAGACTTATGCCACACAGGTAGAATAGGAAATCCTTAGAAGTTTTGGACTCCAAAGAAGGTCTTTTAGGCTACGTTTGGTAGGAGGGCTATAAAATAGGAAGGGTATAAGACCTAGGTGAAAAAATTGAAATGAAGGGGAGGGCTTCTTCTTCTTTTTCTTTTTCCTTTTTTTTAAAAAAAAAAAATATAAATATTGTGTTTAGCAAGAGAGGAAAAAGAAGAACAGAAAAGACAGTATTTTTTTCCTAATTTACTAAATTCATCCATATTATTGGTAATAAATTGGGAATTTGTTATAGCTAAGTAGTAATTTTATTAATTTGTGTTGTTTTGCCTTTCTTTTCTTTCCATAACGCTAGTCCTATCCATCCTTTCCCACAATTCCTATTACCAAACAAGAACACATCTCATAATTCATTCACAGTTAGACCTATCGGCCACTTTATTTCCTGCTACTTTTCTCTTCTAGTTCGGAGCTTTATGACATTTTACTACTCGTTTGTGGTGTCTGGATTTTATCATCTAGAGAAAGTATACTGAAACATATTAAGAAAATCCTAAGACAGGGTGCAACCTTTTGGGTAGAATTTTATCCTATGTTTGGTAGGAGGATGGAAGAAGAGAAGGGGGCGAATAGGGTATCCGGGACAGAAAGTCCAAGCAAGTGGAAGGATAGTAAAACTCATTGAAGTTGTTTGGTATAATGGGAATGACAGAGGAGACTCTCCTCTCCACTTGTTTGGTATTAGAATTAAAGGCGGTATAAACGATCAACTTTTACGGTGTAATTACCATGTTAGAGTGATAACTTTTGAAAGAACTTTTACTTCATCAGTGAATAGAAAATTCCTTCCTTCTTCTACTCCCTCAACCTTGCCACACTATGAAACATCATAGATTTCACTTTCTTTCCACTCACTATCGCTTTACCAAATAGACTTTTAATATTGTTAGACATGGAACAAATTTGTCATACAAGAGATGCACGTTATAATTGAGAAGAAATAAGTGGCACATGGACGTAGATTTAGGTACATTTCTCTATCTTTAGCCCCCCCAAAAAAAAAGGGCGCGTAGAACGCTCTTTAATATGGGTCTAAATTTGGTTAGAAGCTATCTGATTTTTAAGTGGTTGGGCCTTCCCTTTTTTAAGCTAAGAATGCACAACTTCATTAGGAAAGCATGAGTGTCAGTGAGAGTGCTAATGCATTTATGAGTTGTAAAGAATAGTGCAAATCGAATAATTCTAACGCACATTCAGAATGAGGTCTGTACTGTGTCTGAGACTTAAGTAATCAAAGCCCCCTTTTCTTGACTATGCTTTGCCTTAATAGGAAGTGTAAGACTGTACGCGAGTGTGTGCTGTGAGAGTGGAGATAGAGAGCCCGCCCACCGTCACTACTCTCCTGTCCTTGTTTGGATTGAAAAACCTACTAATAAGGACAATATTGAAAGAAAGAATTGCAGAGTTATATGAACAAAGATGTTGCTTAATAATTTTGCTCCTTAGCTTGTGGTTGACCCAGGTTGGTGATGTCTGGGCAATGAAGTTTGAAACATTTCTTGTCTGTTACTCTATTATGTACAACTGTATTTTAATAGAAGTTCGAGCTTATCATATTGTTTTAGGCCATCAAATATTTGATAAAGTAGCTATGAAAAAATTTTCAGCACGTCATCCTGGACTTGGGAATCAATTTATGTGTACTAGGTCGTTGATCAATAATTGCTCAGTTTATCTTGCTAGTTCTTCTCCCTTATTTCATTTTCTACTCTCTCTCTCTAATTGTGAAAAGGTTAATGCTCCTCTCCCCTCTCCCTCTCTCCTCAGTAGAAGGTTTTTAAATATTTCTTTGTGAAGTTCATGCTAGAGTCCCATAGGATGACTTTGCAATAGGTCCATAGCAGCCACTTACAGATGATAAAAAGCTTTAATAATAATTAAAAAAAAAAGGAAAGACTCTGAAAATAAAGCTAAGCATAAAATCTTATATTTCTTTGCTTCTCTTTCTCCCTTTGGACTTTGTTGAGGCCACATTTGAATACCTTGGTTTGTGGGGAAATTTTCGACACGTCTCGTTGAAAATATCTTTTCTTTTCAAGTAGAAAACCAAGACCACTACGCTCTTC